ACTGAGCGTCCTTTTGGTTGTCACATTTGCGGTTTTGCTTTTTCACGAAATGACCATCTGGTACGCCATGTTAATAGCCACCACAAGGCAAAGAATTTTAAGTGTGATATATGTGGTAAGGCTCTTTCTCGAAGAGATCACCTTAAAGTCCACTTACGTATCCATTCAGGGGAGCGTCCTTACAAGTGCACAATCTGCGGGTTTGCCTTCTCACGACACGATCACCTCGTGAAGCACAACCAGCCAAATAAGGGTAGGCGGAAACTAAGCTGTGTACCGCAAGCTGGACTCAAAACGGAACCAGAGGCGGAGCTTCCCATGGTGACCACACCTGTAGCTATGACCACAGAAAGTGGAGAAATAGTGATTGCTCAGGCCCAGGTACAAGCTCAGCCACAGCAACTACCACAGCCCTCCCAAACTCAGCAGGCTGTTTCACATGTTGAGGTCCTCAACCAGCAGCTTGTGACGACGGCAACACCAACAACGGCAACAACAGCCACTGACAATATAGTTACACCCACCACGCTCAGTTTACAGACTGCAAACACCAACGGCACGATAGAAATCATTTCACAGCCACAGCAACAGCAAATCTATCAGACCATAAGCACACCTGGTAGTGCCAACACAGTCCAGGTGTATCCAGTGACGCAAATCTTCCCAACAACATTTCAGGTTTCACCAACAACAGCACAGATTTTCCCCACTACTATACAGATGAATGCAACTACAGCACAGATAATTCCTTTGCAAATGTATCCCATCACCACACAGATTGCTGCGGCATCTGTATATCCTAAGCAGTAGAGATCACCTGTGCTCACAACATCTATTTTTTAGACAGGCAGTGTAATAAATAGTGTAAATAAAAAAAAAAAAAAAAGGAGACAAAAAAAATCCCTGAAAAAATTTTGAGCCAAATTTAACTAATGTCATTTCTGCCAAGTTCTGAATATTATTGAATGTTAGAATGCATTTGTTAATCTACACATGTGTCCAAGAAAATTAGGAATTACTTGTGGAATATTATGTGATATTTATAGAAGGGGATTATTTTATGTTAAGAAAATGAAGAATCATTTTTTTTTTTTTTTTTTCCATATACTGTAATAATTGGTTCCAATTTCAGGTGGGTTCATTATATTCACTTATATACAAATGCCCTTGGGAAAGGTATGAATCCATTTCTTCTCCCCCCAGTTATGGGGTAATTAGTAAGACGTGTATCACTAAATCATTATTATCCTGCCCCATTCCCACGCAAAAAAAAAAAGTCATACAATCTAAAAATATTTTCTGGCTTTTAAATAACCTGCAATGGGCTGATAAGTCATAGAAAATGAATCAGTCAAATTTATACCCTATGAAATGTTCATAATTGAGATATTAATTTTGAGAGGTTACTTAATGTGTACAAAGTAATAAACTTGGCACCTTCACCAAGGGAAAAAATGTGGCCTCTAAGATTTGATGTGAAGAGAATTATTTTTTGTCTGAATTTCTGGGATGAGAACTTATTACTATTTACACTAGTCTGAATATAAATAGTGTAAATAAGAATTATTTTTTCAACTTTGTAATTCATTCATGAGGTGCATTGTTTCAAAATAGCCTTACATGACCTAGGTTATTATGGACTAATATTTGTTAACAAAATTTAAATTTTGCATTTAAAATTTAATAAACAATGCTACAGTGGCTTTAGAATTTGAATTATAGTCATAGACAAAAACATTTATTTATTTTGTATTTTCATGTTTTTTTTTTTTGTTTTTTCAATCAAAGGCTTTTCAAATAGTTAATTCAAAATTTTAAATAATAAAAAATCCAGCTGTAACTAAATTTACTTCACTTGCTATGAAGTAATCATAAAACTGAATAAGATAGAGCATATTTAATTGAAATTAATCTGTACTGAATGCTATAACTATGGATATCACGAACTAGTTATGGAGAATGTATTTTTATAGAAAAAGTCTTTAGCAGATGAATTCATTAAATAGCTAACCCAAATACTAAAGACTTTAACCTTCCCGACTTGCATGATTTGCTTTCAGAGATATTTATTGTTTGCATCTTTCCCAAATTTTATTGAAAAATTTTAAAATATATTTCATTATCACTTGTGACACGTTTTAAAGAAATCATTCTTACAGCGGCAGATGGGACATTCAACAAAATTTGGCTCCAAATGTTTGTTTTTCTTTTTAGCAGTTAGCATATTTCCTCTTATCATTGTCAGACACACAAATATTTTTTTTTTTTTTTTTTTTTTCAATTCAGGGCTCCCTCCATGCATGAGAAGAACAGTCTGCCATTCATTTACTCATAGATTCATTTTGCTGGTGCATCATTTAAGCCATTTTGCTGGTGCATCATTTAAGTCATTTTGCTGATGCACCATTTAAACCATTTTAAAAAATGAAATCTAAACAATTCCCATTTTTAAACAAAACTACACATATGTGCCCTGAAACTAACTTTTTAAAAAAAATCTATATTATATGCATACTGTCTTTTACAAGGCAAACAGATTTTAAAAAACCTTATTGTAAAGAAAAATATTAAGAAACTTGAAATGGCTCCTGTAAAATTAGAAAACATATCTTTATTGATATCCCTCCTCCATTTTAAATTTGATATGATTATTCAAAATTAAAACAGAATGACATTTGGCCATTTTTATGCAGTAACATTTATTTTTTTCTTCACATACAATGATGATAATTATGATCATTTTAGTAAGTTAGAAGCATTTTCTTTTTTAAAAAAACAAATGAGCCAAAGCATGATGACCACTTGTTGCTTAATACAGTTTTGATGCTACATGTGCCTGCAAAACAGCTTTTACCTGATCAAACATGGACTCTACATGGACTCTACATGGACTCTACACTATTCCAAGGATTCATCTGGGATCTGGTGTCAGGATGTTAACAGTAAGTTAACATGGAGTTCTCCAAATGCTCAATGGGATTAAGATCCAGGGAGTTTGGTGGCCAAGGAAACACAGTGAAGATGTTTTCCTGTTTCTGAAACCATTCCTGCAGTTTAGCATGCTGAAAGATCTTACTGTCATCATAGAAGACTTTCTATAAATGAGTGTACATGGTCTTCAAGGATGTTTAGTTAGGTAGTACATGGACAAGTACTTTCCATACAAATGATAGGACTGGGTGTTTCCTCACAGGATATCGCTTAAGCCATCATGCTACTACCACCAGCTTGTTTTCTCACAGTGGATAACAATGCACGCATACCCAGCTATCTCCTTTATTCAAAGGAAAAATGAGCCTCATCAGACCAGGCAACCTTCTTTCATTGATACAAAATTCATTTTTGATGCTTGCATGCCCACTGAAAATACTTTTGATGATTGACATCTTTTTTTTTTTTAGCATGGTTACTCTTATTGGCTTGCAGTTACATAAGCCCGTATTCAATGAGGATCATATTATGATGCATTCCTTTCACTTTGATTTAAAGCTATCTGTAATTCATGCCACAGTAGCCTTTCTGTTGACTCGGTAGGAAAGCCTCCATTCGCTTCACACATTGATAAGTCTTGGACACCCAATGCCTTGTCAGTGGTTGAAGACTTTTCCCCACTCCTTGGACCACAACTTAACATGGTTACTCAACAAGACATGCCATTTTAGAAATGTTCTGGCCTTGTTTTCTGGCTATAATAGTTTGGCTTTTATCAGAGTCAGATCTTTTTTTTCTTGCCCAGAATTGCAGCATTCAAAACATTAAATGAAGTACTAAAAGCCAGCTTACCAGTTTTTTTTTTTTTTTATATCTGTCTCTGATATATACAGTTGTTCTAATACAGTAGCTGTTATTCTTGCCACATGTCACTGGTCATAATGTTTTGGCTCCTCTGTGTATACCTAAAATTTTCTTTGCATTTAATTTTTATTTTCAATTGATTCTGTTCCTCAAGATATTCTTCCTTATGACACTATATAATAAATTTTGTTTATTAATTGTTATTAATAGAGGATTTTTCCAGAAATCTGGAATCTTGTTAAATTTTTTTATCCTGGTCATGTATTACTTAAAAGGATTTTATTTTTTTTTTTTTTTAATAAATTTTTTGGCGAAGAAGAGTGTTGAAAATGTTACACTCTTCTTTGAAGTTAGTTTTCATTCTCCCAGGTGAGTTTGTAATAAAGAACCTTGTTGAGGTGTGTGTGCATGTGAAATATGTACAGACAAAGCAAAAGCGGGCTAAGCATACCAGTCTCTGATATAACTATTAAAGATAAAAATTTTCTTTTTAAACCAATACTGATTTTCGTATTTAACCAATTTTACACTTGAAAACTTAATTTTTATTAAATCTCATTTTTGAGTTTAGGTTGATTGTTACCTCAGAATATAAATACTGATTTTTTTTTTTTTTTTTTTATCTACATTTTATTTGATTGAAATATATTTATTAATTATTTAATTTAAATTTCTAATTGAATGATATTAAAGTTTCAGTTAGTTTCTCATTGCAGTTGCAAGTGTTTAAAAAAAAACTTAAGTCACTTTTTATCATACTACTAATATATAGTGGTACATATAAGATTGGTATGCGTAGTAGTTATGTATAGGTGTTAATTGGTGAATATATTCCTATGCAATTCAGCTGCTGTGATAGAAACTACAAGAAGAATCATTACAACTTTATTATTCCTTTGATGCATCTGCTTACAAAGTGGAAATATATAATTTTGGGATTCAAAATAGGCAGACTACACAAAAATCTATATTCACATTTCAGTTTAAAAAAAAAAAGCTCCTAAAATCACTGATATTTAACATATCTTTTATTTATTTTTCTGGTTGGTCATATTTCCTTTATTATTAATTTTAAGATTATTAAAATATTGTTCTGCCAGAGTTTGATGGTCACACACTCACACACACACACACACACACACATATATATATATATATATATATATATATATATATATATATAAAATTCAGCACTGGAAACCTGATGTTGTTAGCCACTGGGTTTTCACATTGAAAGTAAATCTGTCCATTGGAGTATGATTCCAGCTGCTTCCTTGTTACCTGTCAAAGTTTGGGTTGCTTTCTGTGTTTACCTAACTGCATATATGTCTGGCATAGGAATTATTTCTTTTAACGTGTTTATTTGAAAAATAAACCTTGTCAAAATTAATTAATAAAATTGATATTATATATTCCAAATCCAAGATCTTCTCTCTCCGGTTAGGATGGACGTCCACTTGACTCTGAGGAGTTCATCCACCCTTTAACAGTTCTTGTTTTTTGTACTGCTGGGGTGTTATATATTACTATAATTAAAACAAAAAAAAAAATCTAAACTTATTTACATAGTAGGAACAAGCAAACAAAATATATAAATATTCTTATTTCCATTTTCATGGTAAATGAGTCTCATTTTTGTTTTGTAAAATCAAATTGGGACACTATAATTATCTTTCTCTTTTGACAGAAAAAAATATTGAAAAAAAAAAAATTATAGAATTACATTTTTAAGAAATATTGGTAGTAAAACAAATTTATTTCAATTTCCTTTTTTTTCTTTTTTTTTTAATTGAGTAGAAAAAATATTTGACATAACATTTTGAAGAAGAAAAAATATCAAAAAAAAGTCAATAGAAATTGCAGTTTTGCATTTTATGTAATCTAAAAGTACCATTTGCATTTTCAAATTAGAAATAATTGCTCTTTAGTTCAAATTTTTATCTCATCTAGTAATTATGGTAATTAACTGAATTGTATTTTCTTATATTTATAAACATTGCTTAAACTATTATTAC